CCAGTATCTGACTTGTAGATACTTTTCAGCAACAGCTCTTATTATCAAAACAAGACGATTTTCTATCAAACTGTACTCCATCATATTATTTGTTAGTGAAGAAAATATGTTTACATGCCAATATGTTTTCAATATTGACTGCACAATTGCATGACACCTTACATTTGACAAAGATAATGAATCATTGCTATTGTGTTCTACATTAGTTCTGAACAACTTCTTACACAAAATGCAAATATTAAGTACATCCTTTGAGACGATTATCAAATCCCCTTTAGTTTTCAAGTGAATTAATGCATTTTGCTCATACTTAGTACTTGTATTTAAAGCTGAAATACATGTTTCACAGTGCAGCGAATTTCCAGCTTAAACACAACAAATCCTGTAATATAAGCCACAATACTCTCAGAATATGTAGACAAATGACTAACATTAGGAACTAAATAATAATCGTGATCTGTAACAGAGTTTTTTAGTGGTTCAATAATCTGCTAGTAGAGTTATTTAAAACACTAACAGAAGGAACATCAATGTTTTCGTTTTCTATGTATCCACTAGAAGCGGTTAAAATTGGTACAACTTGCAATGGCAAACAATTTCCACAAACAACATCTTGAACATCACCATGCACAAGCAATTTTCTATATTCTCCAATAAAATGTTTGCTGAAGGGCTATTATTATAACCCAATAAACTTCTTATTTTTCCAAAAAACAACTCTATATGATCTAAGCTAAATTCAAAAGAACACATAAATTTCATACCAAACTGAGGTTGAACAATTATCCAATTATACAGGAGCTAAAAATCCCCAAAAAAAAGTTTTACGATTTGACTTTAGTAAAGGTTTGCCAGTTATTGATTCCTGTAGATCAGCAATATATTGCCTGCTGCAAGAAACAGGTTATTTCATGCACGTTTTTTTTTTTTTGTATAGGTAAGCAATATATTGCCTTCAAGCCTTTACTGCATAAATTCCTGGAAGTCAAAATATCAAATAGACCATTAAACACACGAATAAACTTTATTTTTGGCTGGCAATATTCAAAGTCTGGTATTCCACTTATTAAATAAAATTCTAATGAGTTAACACTCTCATGAAGTAATTGTGCAGGTGCGCTGACAGTAGTTTGTTCCCCAAATGTAAACCTTCGTTTTCTTGAAGTTTGTGAAGTTTTTCAATATATTCCCACTTAACAAGTTGCCCTTCACCATCAGCCAAGGATTTTTTGTCACCTAGTGTATTATATACTAGTTTAAGCATATGGCAAGGATCAAAAAAAAGTACAACCTGTTCTTTAGTTTCTGGATGTTGAAACCATGGTTTAAAATTGGTATCAGCTGAATCATTATTGCATTCTGGTACTTTACCATAGAAAAGTTTGAAGCCCAACCATCACAAGTATGGAATGCAACAGTTACACAAATATTGTGAAGTTTGGTAAGGCACTGCCTAATCAAATTAGCTTGTTGTTTCCCTGTAAGCCCATCAATCAAAAAGTAAGCTATTGGTCGCTTAAATAAATCATTCATAGCAACAAGCATAAATATTTATATACATGAGGCAAATAGAAAAGCAAGGTTAAAGCAAAACTTCTTAATTCTGGTGAAAATTGTTGCTAAGTAGATTTTCCTGAGCATTTTGAAAATTTTCTTTGTAACAAATCTCCTATACCTCCAGCAGACTTTTGCAATATATAAAGGCTTTCACTTCGCGGTACTTTATTTAGCTCAAGATCAGCAATAACATTTTTCAAGCTAGCATTTCTATTAGCAAGCCTTCTTTTTCTCTGTTGTAAAAGTTTTTTGATTTTTTTTTTTCAAAAAAGCATAAGACCTTTCTGCCTTGCATAGCCTTTGGTTTAAATTTGCTTTTCTTGGAGTTTCATGTAGGGGCAGCTTGAAATTCAACTGTCATAGGTAGTGAAGTACAAGAATTAAAAAAGTCTTTATAAAAATTTTTAGTCATAAATTTCGGCTCTTAACGCGTTTGCAATTTTGGAGCTTTACGAACTGGTTTAGCTTTTTTTAA